AAAAAAAAAAAAAAAAAATGGAAATACAATGGTTTCCTTGTCTTCAAAAGTAGAAATCTGGTACCTCCTTGTTTCCTAGACTGTTTTGTTTTCTCCATCAGCTCTACAATGTCTTTCCAAGGATAATGAATTTCCTTCCGGGTCCGCACCAAGCACTCTTTAGTCATATGGAGAAAATGAAGATATTTGTTGCCCGTATGATTGAAAACCACAAGAGAGACTGGAATCCTGCTGAAGCAAGAGACTTCATTGATGCTTATCTCCAGGAAATAGAAAAGGTGAGGGAACCTAGGTGTTTCCCTGAGTAGTGTTCTTAGAGAGCGAATGAGGCAATTCTGACATATTGCTGCTATAAGAAATCACCACAAACTTGCTGGCTTAAAGCAACCAACACTTATCAAGTCAAGGTGGGGGCAGGGCTGGCTCTTTCCTGGCTTTAGGGCAGAATTGATTGATGGGATTTCCCAGAGCCTAGAAGCTACCTGTACCCCTGAACTTATGCCCCTTTCCTCCATCTTCAGAGCCATCAGTCTAGTTTCTTCTCTTCCACCATCCTCATCTATTCTCTCAATGTGCTCCTTGCCTCCTCTTACAGAGACTCTTCTGATTATAATGGGTTCAGTAGGATAAGTGAAAGAAAGTGAAGTCTCTCAGTCGTGTCCAACTGTTTCTGACCCCATGGACTGTAGCCTACCAGGCTTCTCCATCCATGGGATTTTCTAGGCAAGAATACTGGAGTGGGTTGCCATTTCCTTCCCCAGAGGATCTTCCCAACCCAGGGATCGAACCCTGGTCTCCCGCATTGCAGGCAGTGACTTTACCCTCTGAGCCACCAGGGAAGCCACACAGTAGGATAATCCATATCAAAGTCATTAATTTCATCATATCAACAAAATTCTATCTGTCAAAAAATATTTACCAGTTCCAGAGATCAGAACATGAACATCTTTGTGAGTCATTATTCAGCCTACCACAGGTTTGGATGATGTAATCTGAATAGAATTTAAATCAGCAGGGTGACAATATACAGCCTTGAAGCACTCCTTTCCCAATTTGGAAATAGTCTGTTGTTCCATGTCCTGTTGTAACTGTTGTTTCTTGACCTGCATACAGATTTCTCAGGAGGCAGGCAAGGTGTCGGGAATTATCATCTCTGTGAGAATTTTCGACAGATTGTTGTGATCTGCACAGTCAAAGGCTTTGGTGTGTCAATAAAGCAGAAGTAGATGTTTTTCTGGAACTCTCTGCTTTTTTTAAAAATTAATTTGTGTGGGGTTTTTTTGGTATGTTTTTCCTTTCTTTTTTTCTTTCATTTTTTTTTTATTAGTTGGAGGCTAATTACTTTACCATATTGTAGTGGTTTTTGCCATACATTGACATGAATCAGCCATAGATTTACATGTGTTCCCTATCCTGATCCCTCTCCCACCTCCCTCCCCATCCTATCACTCTGGATCTTCCCAGTGCACCAGCCCTGAGCACTTGTCTCATGCATCCAATCTGGGCTGGTGATCTGTTTCACACTTGATAATATACATGTTTCAATGCTATTCTCTCAGATCATCCCACTCTCGCCTTCTCCTAGATAGTCCAAAAGTCTGTTCTATACATTTGTGTCTCTTTTTCTGTCCTGCATATAGAGTTATCGTTACCATCTTTTTAAATTCCATATATATGCGTTAATATACTGTATTGGTCTTTATCTTTCTGGCTTAGTTCACTCTGTATAATGGGCTCCAGTTTTATCCATCTCATTAGCACTGATTCAAATGTATTCTTTTTAATGGCTGAGGAATATTCCATTGTGTATATATACCATAGGTTCCTTGTCCATTCATCTGCTGATGGGCATCTAGGTTGCTTCTATGTCCTGGAAATTATAAACAGTGCGGTGATGAACATTGGGGTGCACGTGTCTCTTTCAGATCTGGTTTCCCCAGTGTATATGCCCTGGAGTTGGATTGCTGGGTCATATGGCAGTTCTATTTCCAGTTTTTTAAGGAATCTCTACACTGTTCTCCATACTGGCTGTACTAGTTTGCTTTCCCACCAACAGTGTCAGAGGGTTCCCTTTTCTCCACACCCTCTCCAGCGTTTATTACTTGTAGACTTTTGGATAGCAGCCATTCTGACTGGCATGTAGTGGTACCTCATTGTGGTTTTGATTTGCATTTCTCTGATAATGAGTGATGTTGAGCATCTTTTCATGTGTTTGTTTAGCCATCTGTATGTCTTCTTTGGAGAAATGTCTGTTTAGTCCTCTGGCCCATTTTTTGACTGGGTCATTTATTTTTCTGGAATTGAGCTGCAGGAGTTGCTTGTATGTTTTTGAGATTAATCTGTTTTCTGTTGCTTTGTTTGCTATTATTTTCTCCCATTCTGAAGGCTGTCTTTTCACCTTGCTTATAGTTTCCTTTGTTGTGCAAAAGCTTTTAAGTTTCATTAGGTCCCATTTGTTTATTTTTGCTTTT